AGTGTCCATCTGTAGATGAATGGATAAAGAAGATGTGGTACATATACACAATGGAATACTATTCAGCCATAAGAAAGAAACAAATCCTACCATTTGCAACAACATGGATGGAGCTGAAGGACATTATGCTCACTGAAATAAGCCAGGCAGAGAAAGACAAGTGCCATATGATTTCCCTCATTTGTGGAGTATAATAATGAAGCAAAACTGAAGGAACAAAATGGCAGCAGACTCAGAGACTCCAAGAAGGAACTAGTGGTTACCAAAGGGGAGGGGTGTGGGAGGGTGGGTGGGGAGGGAGGGAGAAGGGGACTGAGCGGTATTATGTTTAGTACACATGGTGTGGGGGATCATGGGAGAACAGTGTAGCACAGAGAAGGCACATAGTGGATCTCTGGCAACTTGCTGCACTGATAGACAGTGACTGCATTGGGGTATGGGTGGGGACTTGATAATATGGGTAAATGTAGTAACCACATTGTTTTTTCATGTGAAACCTTCATAAGAGTGTATATCAATCATACCTTAATAAATTTAAAAAAAGAGAGACTAGGGTTCCATACCTTTAGAATTATGCTGCTTCCTCTGGAACTATGCTGAGAAACGGTCAGCCCTCAAAGACGCACCACTACTCTTCACCTTGTAGGCACCCAGCAGCACTGGCTACCACAGGGTGGAGGGGCGGCTTCTCTACCCAGGAAGGAACAGCAGGGACACGGTCTGGGCTCCAGACTTCAGAATCTGCCTCCTTCCCCATCTCAGAGAGTCCAACAGCAGAGAGCAAAGAGCAGGCATTTCTTACATGTTTGAATAGCAACTGCACCTTCCCCAGGATTTATCACAGTGTAGGAGCAAGATCGGAAGAGAAGAGAAATACCCTGACAGCATTCCAAAAAGTCCATAAATGGGAAGAAGCATGGGGAGGGAGGAGAGCAGTGAAACCTCACTCTACCTGGGGTGAAAGATACTCTGAATATGCACAACATAGGCATTCGCTTCGGTGCGAGAGCTTTAAGGACCCAGGGGACTGAAAGGAGGACTAAAGGCAGGGGTGCACCCCCTCCTCTTCCTGTGCAGCTCTGTCACCGCAGCTGTGACTCATGTCCCGTAGCAGACCCCCTCTGCACACAGGCCGGCCTCGGCCACACACAAGTGACTGCCGTCGTGAGTTCCTACAAGGCTCTGTATAAAGAACTCATCTGCCAGCTGGCCCCCATCTCCTAAGGTGTTCTGAAATCCTGAAACCAAGACCCAGGAACTCAGGAGCCGGCTGCATCGGAGATCTGTCACAGGGCCTGAAACAAAACCAAGGCCGCAGGTTGGAAAGGAGATGCCACCCATCACCTGCCTGGGAACAGCGAGTCTGGTGGTTGCCCATCTGGGTAACTCTATTTGCCCCACACAAGTTTCCTTCCTTTAGAATTATGCTGCTTCCTCTGGAACAGGTTGTCCAGCTATTAGTGATTTGCAAATCAGGGCACCATAGCCTCAGTCATGGAAGAAGAAACATTGTTTTGGCTACAATTCCAAACAATTTCCAGACATGTTAAAAAAAGGGAGGGAGGCAGGGAGGGAGGGAGG